AAAAAAAAAAAAAAAAAAAAGAAAAAAAAGACCATATAGCCAAGACAATCCTAAGCTAAAAAAATAAAGCGGGAGGCATCGCACTACCTGACTTCAAACTATACTACAAGGCTACAGGCTACAGTAACCAAAACAGCATGTTACTGGTACCAAAACAGATATAGAGACCAATGGAACAGAATGGAGGTCTCACAAGTAATGCCACACATCTACAACTATCTGATCTTTGACAAACCTGACCGAAACAAGCAATGGGGAAAGAATTCCCTTATTTAATAAATGGCGTTGGGAAACCTGGTTAGCCATGTGCGGAAAACTGAAACTGGACCCCTTCCTTACACCTTACACAGAAATTAACTCAAGAGGGAATAAAGACTTAAATGTCGGACCTAAAACCATAAAAACCCTAGAAGAAAACCTAGGCAATATCATTCAGGACATAGGCATAGGCAAAGACTTCATTACTAAAACAGCAAAAACAATGGCAAGAAAAGCCAAAATTGACAAATGGGATCTAATTAAACTAAAGAACTTCTGCACAACAAAAGAAACCATCATCACAGTGAACAGGCAACCTACAGAATGAAAGAAAAATTTTGCAATCTATCCATCTGACAAATTTTGCAGTCTATCCAGAATCTATGAAGAACTTAAATAAATTTACAAGAAAAAAACAACCCCATCAGAAAGTGGATGGAGGATATGAACAGACATTTTTCAAAAGAAGAGATTTATGTGGTCAAAAACATATGAAAAAGAGGTCATCACTGGACATTAGAGAAATGCAAATCAAAACCAGAATGAGATACCATCTCCTGCCAGTTAGAATGGCGATCATTAAAAAGTCAGGAAACAACAGCTGCTGGAGAGGATGTGGAGAAAAAGGAAAGCTTTTACACTGTTGGTGGGAGTGTAAATTAGTTCAACCATTGTGGAAGACAGTGTGGCAATTCCTCAAGGATCTAGAACTATAAATACCATTTGACCCAGCAATCCCATTACTGGGTATATACCCAAAGGATTATAAATCATTCCACTATAAAGACACACGTGGGACTGTTTACAATAGCAAATACTTGGAACCAACCCAAATGCCCATCAATGATAGACTGGAAAAAGAAAATGTGGCACATATATACCATGGAATACTATGCAACCATAAAAAGGATGAGCTCATGTTCTTTGCAGGGACGTGGATGACGCTGGAAAGCATCATTCTCAGCAAACTAACACAGGAACAGAATACCAAACACTGCTTCTTCTCACTCATAAGTGGGAGCTGAATAATGAGAACACATTGACACAGGAAGGGGAATATCACACACTGGGGCCTGTTGGGGTGGGGGTCTAGGGGAGGGATAGCATTAGGAGAAATACTTAATGCAGATGACGGGTTGATGGGTACAGCAAACCACCATGGCACATTTATACCCATGTAATAAACCTGCATGTTCTGTACATGTATCCGAGAACTTTAAGTATAATTTAAAAATATTTAAATATTAAAAAAATAAGATTGCATGATTTTCCCACATTACAATAAAACCAGAAAAATATTTTTTACTAAAGTGCAAAACAAAAATAAAGCTTTACTTTTATAATATTTTCTATTTTCTTTTCTTTTAAATAGGTGAACAACAAAATGAACAAATAAAGATATTCCTTTTGCAACCTAAGAGTCATTTGAGTTTTAAACTCTCAAAGACCTGGGATCTGTTTGTGAATTTTTCCCCCTTATCTTTCCAGTTCTGCTTCTAGAATTTCCCCCCATGTATCTGCATCCATTGGGTACATGATTTTTTCTGGTAGGCTAATGGAAGAACAAATGTTGCTGTATCTGCCACTTAGCCATTCGTGTTTCACTTTACTCTTCTGGTAATTCCTCAGGAGTATTACCTGAAAGAGATAAATCACCATTAAAAAAGACTGTAGTAGGTGGTTGTGTTTAAAGCTAGAGAAGGGGATGGACAGGGCTGAAAAAAAAGAGTATCTACATTGATATACACATATATTAATAAATTTGTGTATCTGTGCACGTGTGTACATGTATATGTGTACTTATAGAGTGGGCCACACTGTTTACTGGGGGTTTGGGATAAGGTGAAGTGAAAAGAAGGAGCTAATTCCCCTCTGGTCAACAGAGGAAAATTCCTGAATTTAGAATTTAAAAAATGCAAAAGGATAAATGAAAGATACTGTGGAAACAGTGTGGTTAGCAGGAAAAGACTATTAACTTTAACTGGTTTCCCAAAGTCAATACAGTCTCTATGTTATTCTGCATATGCAATTCTATTTCCTCCAAGCAGCAGAAGTTATCATTGGTTCAAAATCATGACACTGCTATCATGACATTGTCAAAAACACTGCAGATTGCAAAGATTAAACTTACCCTCCAAGAATAACCACTTTCTAGATCATCATCTATTTCTCTTCGGCACACAGCTCTTAGAGTCATGCAGTGAGGTTTCCATAAAGAGTCATTGTTTCTTACTGTGTCATTCCAGCTCCTGCATGTCAAGGAAGCCCTGCACAAACTCCGTATGTCCAGCTGACTGAAAATTTTTAAACTGATTTCTTCAGGCAGCAGGTCAACAAAGTTGTTTTGACTCTCATGTTTTTCCTTCTTAGCATCCACAGAGTTCGTGTCTGTGTGAGAAACTCTTGAATTATTGCTTCTCTTGGAGTTTTTCTGCATAGCTTAATGTTTTAGTAAATTATCCTCACATGTAACCTAAAAGGCAAAATTTAAACATGCTTAGTCTCCAAACAGGGCTATAAATCCTACTTTGAGTCAGATGCTTTTTAGGCATAATTTAAGAACTCTAACTTTCTTGACTTTAGCATCTCAATCTGTAAAATGGGCCAATGCTGCTCCTCTCCTGAAAGTTCTTGCAAGGATTAACAGGGATAATGTGTAAAACATCTAGTCTTGCCACATCTTTAGTGCACCTGGGAGGCACTCAACATGTTAGTTTCACTCTCACCCAGGCTGAAGTGCAGCTGTGTCAGCATAGCTCACTGCAGCCTCAACCTCCAGCCTCAAGCGGTTCTCTCAACTTAGTGTCCCCCACACCTTTTTTTTTTTTAAACAAAACAAAATGAAAAAAAACAAAAAACAAAAACTTTTTGAGAAATTGTTCTTGCTATGTTGCCTAGGCTGGTCTAGAACTCTCGTCCTCAAGCGATCCTCCTGCCTTGGCCTCCCAAAGTGCTAGGATGACAGGCAGGAGCCACCACACCCAGTACTTTTTTATCTTTGAAAATGTATATGTCAATCCTATTAAACTTCTAAACACTTGTTGTATATGTGTACTGATGCCTTGTCATTAAATTTTTGATTTGCAATTTGTGACTTAATCATAAACCGGCTGGACTTCTAGTTGTTTATATAATAATGTTTTCTACTTGTATGTAATGGGTAGGTAGGTGCTTACATTCGACACAAATACTATCCAAAATGGACGAGAAGATGAGATCTGGGTTAGGACGCAAAGTCATGCAAAGTTTCAAATATGCAACTCAGTTATTAGTATTTTAGAAATGACCCCTTGAAGTTATTCTACATGCATAGTTAATTAAGAGTTAAGCATAACAGTCACTGAAGCCATCAAGCAACAGTGAGTGACAACTGTAAACAATGTTTAGAACTCAGCTAGGTATAGCACGTGACTATTTGAAGCCCAGATTTAAAGCTCAGTTTCAGCTAATGTACCTAAGGTGAATGGTGCAGGTTTCTTAAATCAGTTGAAAGCATCACTGGGTACATCATCACCCTTGAGTTACTTTTGTATACAAAGACGGCTTGTACTCACTTAAAATCAATTTATTCCATTTTGCACTTCCTTTTATAATGGGGGTTGGTTGTGCAAGAGGAGGGGTTTGAGATAGAGCTAAATACTTCTTTTAACTCAATAAAACACAAATCTCTTTTGTAGATGAACTACTCAGCTATATGTTTCTGGACTTGTCAAGACCATGGTGGCTCCCATTCATGAGGCTGATTTATGATCCAGATTAGCTGTGGTGGCTGGAGCTGTAGTCTGTGTTCAACAGAGGTCTTCTTCTTGAGGGTTTGGGGAAGGAAGAAAGCAAACTGGTAAAAACAAGAGTGAGTCAAGCGCAAGTTTTTGCCACATACCTTGGCCCCTCCCACCATCAATACAAACCAAAGCCAAACCACCAGATTCTTGAAAATCTCACATTAGGACAATGTTACAGTGTATTGAAACGTTACAGTGTGTTTATCCACTTCTTCCAGGATCTTACTAGGGGAATCAAATGCCTTCCCTTGTGGAATTCCCTTAACGGGAATGAAGGCTTTTGAATTTCATCGCAGGGGGTGCCTTGGCGAGGTTCCAAAATCCCACCAGGAATCTTTCTTTTACGTCCAAGTTTCCTGGATGCCTGGAAACGACTCCCATTTTTTTTTTTCCCCCTTTCTCCTTTATAAACCGAGCTTTGCTGAATTCTCTCTCAAGTGAGGTAAAATCTCGTTCCCCTTTCACCTGTCACTTGGCGGGATGGATCGGAGGCAGCGCAGTCGGAGGAGCTGGGAGCCACACTTCGTCCAGATCCCGTGGGTCAGGGCTAATCACCCCACGTCCCATCTGGGCCACCCTCCTTGTGTCCCGCGCGGGCTGCAGCTGCTGGAGCCCAAGAACATGGGACACAGACAAGTGAAAAACAACAACCGTCAGCGCTGTCACCGCGGCTCCAGGCTGCGGAGGGGAGGCTCAGCTTGCGTCGGGGCCGCGCCCCCAAGCATGTAGACACCTAAGCCAAGGCGTAGACACCTAAGCGCGTAGACAACTAAGCCACCTAAGCCAATGGAAGACATTCCTACCTACTGGATGGCGGTGGCTTCTGCCGCGATTTAAATTCTCCGGAATTCGAATCGTTCCCCATAGCCCTCCACATCCCGCCCACCTGAGCCCCGCCCTGCTGACTCGGAACTCACGCAGGCGCCGAGAGGGGCGCGAAGTGCCTTTGGGGATTGGTAGTTTTTGCCAGGGCGTCTCAGCTCGGGAAAGGAAGGAAAGAAAGGCTCCAGGGACTACAAGGCCCGGCGTCCTCCAAGTTGGGTGGGCGGTGAGAAGGGTGGTGGAGAATAAGCCGGGGTTTTTAAATAATAATTTTGAGGCGGTGTGACGGGGGAATCCCCCAATCGCGTCATCAGTAGGCGTGGAGGGGCGGGACTCGGTAGGCTGGGGCTGGGCTTTTAGAGGACCGGCGTAGCCGCTCGGAGCCTTTGCGCCCCTCCCGCGGTGTTTTTCCAGTGGCCTGGGTTTGCCCCGCGCGTGTCTGTGGAGGGCGGAAGCAGCGGACGGGTCAGTCTCCTGGAGAAGAGGCCTAATTCTCGCCCACCATGTCCGGGGGCTTCGAGCTGCAGCCGCGGGACGGCGGTCCCCGGGTGGCCCTGGCGCCCGGTGAGACGGTGATTGGTCGCGGGCGGCTGCTGGGAGTAAGTGTGGGCAGGGGCTCCTGAGGTTCCTGAGAACTGGTTCCAGTCTTGGCCCGATTCCCCACAGCGCCGGTCCGCCTGTCTTGATTTTAAAAGTTTGGGGGGCCGCACGTTTTTCAGTCACTTTAAGCAATTCATAAACGTTTCTTTATGTTGCTTTTAAAACACCAGGGGTTGGCAAACCAGAGTCTGGGGGCCAAATCCAGCCCGTTTTTGTATGACCCCATGAACTAAGAATGATTCTTAAACTCTAAAATGTAAAATGTAAACAAGAAACCTACTAATTTTTCAGGGAGAACAGTTGCTCCAAGGGTTGAGGGTATTGCGGCGTGTCCTGTAAAGCCTAAAATATTTACAGTAGTGTCTGGCCCTTTACAGAGAATTTTGCCAAACTGTGGTATTATGTCCTCTAGGCTAATTTCTTTTAAGCTTTGGTCTCCTTTGCAGGGCTGTGTGGACCTTACTTGTTTATTTATATTATTTATTATATACCGTAAAATGAGTAACCCTTAATAAGTAAAGTATATAGCATTCAAGTCATTGATCTGAGGAGACTTTACCTACCTATACCAACATCTTTAACTGTTTCAAAACCCTATCAGTTAGGTGTTTTTATTATTCTCATTGTTCAGATGAGAAAATTCAGCCATACATGCGTTATTTAAAATCCGTACATAACATTTTGGACACATAATGCCACAAAGCTAAATATGCCCTACCTTCTTTGGGAGGTTTAGGAATGAGAACATTTGCGTATGGCATTCTGGAATTCTATAGATCTCTTCTTAAGAACATCTAGTTTTTTTCTTCAACGTTCAGCATTTCTTATTTAGTGCTCACTCCGTAGAACATTTTGCAGATCCTAGCACTGTGGGGCACACAAAGATGATTGGAACATGGGTCTTTACCCACTAGGAGTTTTCTCTTGGGACTGGAGAGACAGACCTGTATTAGTGAGTTAACAGCAACGAGTAAGGAGTGTGTACTGTTATCCTGGTTAACTTTCCGGAATCTAAATGGAGCCATTGGTACTTGCCTTAGGTCCCTTCTGGGAGCAGGGAAAGGAGTGGTAGTTTAAGATTGTATTATGGAAGTTGATACTAAAGGGGTGTGTGTGTGTGTGTGTGTGTGTATGTGTGTGTGTGTACATGTACATGCACATGTGTATGTAGTAAGGTTATTGAGGAAGTAGATGGTCCCTTGCTGTTCATTTTTTTTTTTTTTTTAACTGGGCAAGTGATTATTTAAATGTTTAAGTAACATCATTTCTACTTTTTTCCTTTAATTAGCCTATACAAACACCAGAAGGAACCGTCTGGAGACTTTCTTTTTCTTTTTTTCTTCCTTGAATGCATAGGTTAGAAACTTAGAGTGTGTGCTTCGTCTAGTAATCATATGTCTGATGACTAACGAGTTTTGACTTGCTTAAGAAATTGTCACCAGTAGAGTACTGTGAGTCGGATTAAAAGATGGATGAATTTAGGCCCCTATTTTAGAAACATGGCAACAGATGGCGGACCCTTTCATTATTTGTAGCTTATTCTTTGGATTGTCTACTTGCTAATGTGAGATGAGCATATTTGATATCTGTTTTTAAAAATGGTAAGGAGTAAAAGCCGGGCAATTATCTGGTCAAGATTTTGCTTTTCCTTTTGAAATAATATTCAGTGATGAGATTCTGTTGTCAAGGTTGGCAGGTATCAGAAGTGGTTATGAATGACATCCTAAGTGTATTGAAGGAAAAATTTGGAGAACAAAAAAAATCACCTTGTGGTTTTTTGATTTTGGAGCTGACAGATGCCCTCATTTCTTCTCTTCAATAGTTAAAACACAACATAAGGGCTTCTGTTTTCAACAACAGCAATTCCAGTGAGATTTATTTTTATATTGTGAGAGAGTGAAGACTGAATTCTAAGTGGAAAACTCAAGAAATTAGCTGTAAATTGGTATACATTGGAAATGATTAGTATGAATAAGGGTGATTTTGAACTTTCTTACTTAATTGGCCATGTTTTTCTGAGACAAGCTTCGTAAACCTTGATGGCCACACAAACATAAAGGCTTATAATCCCACTGTGTAAAATAGTCTTGGTAGTAAAATGGTTTGACAATGAGAATGTTTTTATATTTTTACAGTGGTAGGAAAACACAGCAGAGAAACCTGTCACAGAGAACGAAGCACAGTGAAATTTAAATCTTTCTTGTGCTCTTTGCTTTCATGTGAGTCATCAGCGAACCCCAGGTCTTTGTTTACTAGATTTTGATTCTGCCCCAAGATTGGCATCAGAAGGTTTGCAGCAGGATTAATCTTCAGAGAACTTCAGAGTTAAAACAGCCAATCCAAAAGATTACATATTGTATGATTCCATTTATATAACATTATTGAAATTGCAAAGTTACAAAAATGGAGAACAGATTAGTGGTTGCCAAAGGTTAAAAAATTAGGCAGCAGGGCAGAAGGGAATAAATATGGCTATGAAATAACAACATGAGGGATATTTGTGGTGATAGAATTGTGCTTTTTCTGGACTGTGTCAATATCAGTATCTTTGGTTGATATATTGTACTATAGTTTTGTAACATGTTACCACTGGGGGAAACTGGATAAATTGTACAAGAGATCTTTCTATATTATATCTTTCAACAGTATGTGAATCTACCATTATCTTAAGAAATTTAATTTAAAATGGTTTTACAGTACAACATGTCAAGCACTGTTAGGCCAAATAATTTCCTTTATGGCTTTTCTTTGATTAAAGCTATTACACTCTTAAATGAAATATATTATTTCTGATTTCAAATTTTTCTTATTTTGTTTTGACAACAGGGATTGTATGACGCATTTCTTTATGATTGATTTTTCTTCTAGGGAACAAGATAATGCAAGATATCTAATGAGACTTTCTCAATGTAGATGTAATTAAATTGACTGCTTTGATTAAAAAGAGAAGAAACCCCAGTTGGAGGAACAGAGAAGGTCATAGACTTCATATAGACTCTTCAGGTGACATCAGTTCACCACTTCTAAAAATGTTATAAATGTTCTACAAAGTTCACACAAAGTAACCATTCCCGGACCTGGCAGCCCAAGAGTTTAACTACTTATTGCAGAATCCTCCTTGCTGTCCTGGAATGCTCTTCCTACCTGCTCCAACACAAGTTTCTTCCCTCATACTTCTTTTATTTCTAGTTTGTCCTTCACTCATTTTAATTATTTAGGCTACAACCAGTGCCTAGTACATAGTAGGCCTTCAACACATGCTTTCTTCCTTCCATTCCTGCATCTCAGCCTCTCATTCACTCTACCCTCAAAAGGAACCTAATTGTGACTTAGATATGAAAAAGAGTTTCATTGAGTTTCAAAGTGAATTTGCATATAGTAAAGATGCAGTCCTACCAACTTCTAACCTTAGGGAGTAACATTCATAATGAATTAAGTGTTAACATTTTTCCTATTTGTTGATTGATAATTCACCAAATTCAGGAAATAGTTGATGAACATATACTATGGTTGGGTGGGAGGAAGTATAGGAGAAATAAAGATGAATGAGAAACAAATCTTTACTCTCAAAAAACTTAGAGTTTTGGGTTTGAGAGACAAATAAGTATTAATAACTAAACAAAGCTACAGCCTCACATGGGGACTGGAGCCAGGCTGACACTCGGAGTGAACGAAGTGGGAGGGAGAAGAAAAACAACACAGGGACAATGATAAATGACAGCAGTTCTGCCTCAGTGTTGGGAAGGCCACACGGGGAGGGTCTCTATGCAGTCCCTGCTACTTTCCCCTATTCCCATCTGGTAACAGTGTCATATTGTTTTTTAAAGAATAGTAAGAATTTGAATTTTTAGATATAATTTGTGATTTTTAAAATGTCACATTTAATGAAAAGTTTGATTAAATACCATGAACCTGTTGACAAAAAGAGTTAAATTCTATAAACTATTTCAAGAGATTTATTCTGAGGCAAATATGAGTGATCATAGGCCGTGACACACCCCTCGGGAGTCCTGAAAACATGTGTCCAAGGTGGTTAGGGTACAATTTGGTTTTCTATATTTTAGGAAGGCATGAGACATCAATCAAATACATTTAAGAAATATATTGGTTTTGTTCAGAAAGGTGGGACAACTTAACATGGGGGTTGGGGCTGGTGCGGGGAGCTTCCAGGCTATAGGTAAATTTAAACATTTTCTGGTTGACAATTGGTTGAGTTTATCTGAAGACCTGAGGTCAAAGGAAATGTTCAGGTTAAGATAAAGGATTATGGAGACCAAGTTTTATTATGTAGAGCTCTCAGATAGCAGACTTTAGAGAAAGCAAGTTG